GGACAGCCAGGGCTACACAACACAGCAAAGCCCTGTCTTGAAGAAAAAAGGAGGACAACAAAGACAAGGGCAAGGAAAGTCTTAGGGACACAGAAAGGAAAAGGATCCCCTTGGCCAGACGTCTACACGACAGTGCAGCAGGAGACCCCAGGATCCCCTCGGCCCAGACGTCTACACAACAGTGCAGCAGGAGACCCCAGGATCCCCTCAGCCCAGACGTCTACACGACAGTGCCGGAGGAAGTCCCAGCACGGTTACCAAACACTGAAGACCATTCTCCCTTCCCAGCCGAGACCTGCAGTTTCCCATGAACCTCACCTGAACCTCCATTTACAGGGAAAGGACATTAGTAGATCCTGTGCTGCCCTGGTCCACTCCTGCTGCCGCTTTACCAGATATAGTTCAAGGATTATAATCCCAGCTAAATCTCTCTGGAGTCCCCTCATTATCTCACTCATTGGGAGAGAGAGAGGTCTTCTGGTTTTTTTGTTTGTTTTATTTTTCAAGACAGGGTTTCTCTGTGTAATAGTCCTGGCTGACCAGGAACTCACTTTGTAGACCAGGCTGACCTTGAACTCACAGAGATCCACCTGCCTCCGCCTCCCAAGTGCTGGGATTAAAAGGACATGCCACCAACGCCCAGCAAGAGAGAAGGTTTTATAGCAAGCAACCTTTTGAGATGTAACAATAAATACCAAAAGGTTTCTCTCTCTCTCTCTCTCTCTCTCTCTCTCTCTCTCTCTCTCTCTCTCTCTCTGTGTGTGTGTGTGTGTGTGTGTGTGTGTGTATGGATTTTGCATGAGAGAAAGAATTTGAGTTTCTTTTTCTGAGTCTTATATGTTCAACATAATGATCTCTAGTTACATCCATTGTTACTGAAAAGGGGGGGGTGAGGACGTGAGTCAAATAATCCCAAGATAACTCCAAAAGATTTCAATTATAATTCTTTTTTATAAAGGGCAAACTCACAGAACAGGAACGAGAAGTCCAACCTCAGGTGTGTAATGCGGAACCAGAGAGAGCGCCCTGGGCAGGCCGGTGGTTTTTCTCTGGGTACCCAAAAGTCACACCCTAACCCAATCCAGCCTCTTAAAGATCACTGGCTAAAGGAGGTTCCCCATCAATCCATTTTCATGCAAATGGCATAATTTTACTCTTCTTCATGGCAAAAAAAAAACCCTCCACTATATATCTCATATTTTCCTTTTTCCACACCAGTTGTTATCAAAGCTGCCAGTATCCTATTGTGTAGCTACATTAAAGGAGGGGCTTATCATCCCACATGGTGAAGAGAGGTGTGAGGGGAGGGGGGCTGTCTCTGTGACCTTCACAGGCAGCAGAGAGACAGCCAAAAGAGGCCAGAAGACAGTTCAGCTTAACACGACTCAGAAGCCAGTGTTGTTTCAAACTTTGGGAGTCTGACTCCAAATGGTTTATTTCAGGCATTTTTATGCACTGCACAATTTGGTGGAAACTATTCTGGTCATAATTAACTCGATCCCGTATGCACAACAAAGCACACATAAATTATCTCCTTGAGGAACAAAGTAAGCTAAATACAGATCCGACGTGTCTACATTGAAACTCTTTGTAGAGTCCATAAAGATGGGTTCTATAGCTTGACTAAGAAGAACAAATTTATGATAAGGATCTAAGGGAGGGTCCAGTACCGGAAAAGTGTCTAGTCACATCGAGTACAAAGGTCACCAGACTAGAAAGCATGTCCCCTATGACCTTCTGGATGGATAACAGGTTCTGTATCCCTTCCCTTGGAGGAACAACTCAGTTTGCTTAACATCCCAGGTTCCCTGGTGCTGGTCTGTGAGCACAAAGGCCTGTGTGCCCCCTGCAAGGCTGATGATGACTGACCCAGTGATGCCCAGGCCAGCATCCCACTGAGGTTGTTCCTCTGCTCTACTGCCCCATGATGACAAGATGGCCAGACTGCCCCTCCCTGTTCAAAGCATAGTGACATGAAAGGCCTGGCCTCATTCTCTCTTATAAACAAATTAAAGACTGTCCCGGAAAATACTTTAGCCAACCCCTGAGAAGTCACTGGCTGGAATCTGGACCATTTCTAGCTGCCAAGGAGGTGGGAAAGGTGAGCCACAGAATTTGAGGTGTCTGAAGGACCAATCACACTCCATCATCAGAGACTGAGTATCCACATACTCTCCCAAATCCGTGTGGCCATTACAGAAGGGGGTGGAGTCTAGTTACCAAGATGGAAGCCACCTGGTCCTGCTACATATTCTGTCTGTGCTTCAAGTTCCTTATACACATGTCGGTCAAAGCAGACATTAGATTAATGTATGGAGAAGACATGTGTCAACATGTCTGTGTCTACTAAACTGACAAGTCTCAATGCAGGCTCACATCAGAAATTCCTGGGCAAAGCGGGAAACATACTAGTGCCTAGAGTCAATGCATGAAGGTTTTAATGTACTTGCTCCAGATTAACCTCTGGAATGAATTTTTTTTCAGACAGGGTTTCACTGTGTAGCAATAGAAATAGTTCTTGGCTATCCTAGAGCTAGCTTTGTAGACCAGGCTGGCCTCGAACTCGCAGAGATTTGCCTACTTCTGCTAAACTTTTTCTCCTCTAACCTCTATTAGTCTACATGCGGTAGTGAACACCGTCACTACGTCAGATCGCTCGTCTCTTGAGCCCTGTACTTGGCCTCTCTTTTTAAAGCACAGCCACCGCTCCAGGTGGCCTCTCCTGTGGGCAGACTGCCAGCTGCTCTCCTAACTACTGTGTGAGACAGCCCAGTCTCACTCTGGCGTGGCAGATGCCCTAGTCCAAGAAGATAACTCCAGAAACAGCCAGGCTCAACCCTTGGGCCTTGACTAACCTCCCTGCTGGGGCGAGAGAAGAGCAGGATGGGAAATTCACAAATGCACTCCCATGCATTCCGTGGCAGAGTGTCTAGCCTTAATGTGAAAGCAACCCACACAGAAAAAAATGTAAATATATATATATATATATATATATATATATGTGTGTGTGTGTGTGTGTCTGTGTGTATATATATATATATATATATACATATATATATATATATATATAAAAAATCTGATTCTTCAGACAGATGTGAAGCTAAGAAATGCCCCTGCTGACATCACAAGAATGAGTCAGAGGTGAGTACATCCCCAGAGGTGATGACATGTTAGGTATCCTACCATCTGGTCCTAACTCCACCACACTTCTGAAACTGCTTGTTCCAAAGTCACAAGAACAGTCTTATGACACGTAATGTTCATAGTTCTAGGAAAGCCCACATCAATGTTTAGAGAAACCTTGGGCTGCGTCTTAAACTCTGTTACTACCATGAAATTATTAAGTTTTTAAACAAAGGCTTCACATTTCATTTTGAACCATACTCTACAGCTATGTGTCTGGTCCTGATCAAATACAAACTCACACAAAATCTAACAAAGTTTGGGAGGCTAAGGGAGTAGAAGCGTGAGTTCAAGACCAGCCCGGGCTACATAGTGAGTTTATGGTCAGCCTGAGCTACATAGTGAGACAGTGTCTCAATAATAATAATAATTGGCTGAGCATGGTGGTGCACGTCTTTAATCCCAGAACTCTGGAGGCAGAGGCAGGTGGATTTCTGTGAGTTCAAGGCCAGTCTGGTCTACAAGGCAAGTCCCAGAACAGCCAAGGCTACATAGAGAAACCTTGTCTTAAATAATAATAATAATAATAATAATAATAATAACCCAGTAAGTTTTCCTTTTCAGGAAGATCTGCAGTCTGACTTTGTCCTCCTTAGAGTACTTCTCATGTCTCCCCTACTCTGTGACGTCCCACATTTCTCGTTTCTTCCCCTCTAGTGGGAGCAAACCAAAGAGTTAGTTCCGCACAAGATCACCGATGGTCTAAGGAGCATCGAGTACTCAAGTGTGGCATGGGGGTGAGAGAGATACCAAGGGAAACAGGAAGTGGCTGGAGAAATTGGAGAAGGATGCAATTGGGTTGTGGTCTTTGTCTGGTCACTGGCATAATACAAGACTAATCATGTTTTGGGCAAACGTGTTTTACCTGCCTGTAGTCTAAGAGGGTTCAGCTGGATGGTCCCTTCTTTTGAGCTCCTGCAGCCTGAGGGGGTTTAGCTGGATGGTCCCATTTTTGGCGCTCCTGTGCGTCACTGTAGCACCTGCACCAAACAGGAGGTGGTGTGAGTAAGATGACACCACAGGGAACAAGGCTGTGAGGTGGCAGCAATGTGTTTGGCTGGCCATGAGGGTCAAGAAAGCTACACAGGAGAAGCCCATGAACTAAGGTATTGGATGGTTCCTCTACATCAGTGGTTCTCAACCTTCCTAACGCTGCAACCCTTTAAGACAGTTCCTCAGGTTGTGGTGACCCCAGCCCTAAAATTATTTTTGTTGCTACTTCCTAACTGTAATTTTGCTGCTGTTATGGATCGTAATGTAAATGTCTGTGTTTTCCAGTGGTCTAAGATGACCCCCGTGAAAGGGTCATTTGAAACCCCAAAGGGGTGGTGACCCACAGTTTGGAAACCGCTGGTCTACACAGACATCCATATCCATGACTTGGGGTCACCCCTGCCTCTGCAAAGTACGGGAGGTAAGGTGGAGCAGGAAAACCGGTCTCAGTGTTGCAACCATGAAGCCAAACTGAAAAACAGCATCTGCATTTCACCGCCAGGAGCTCCCTTCTGTTCACTCCACCTCGTGGGGCCCCTCCGTGATCCTCCTTTGTTCGGACACAAGGACTCAGAGACAAACACCAAACACTCTGCTGCCGCCAATCCTTCCTTCCCACTCCCCACAGGACAGCAGGAGAGGAGATGGTGTGGAGTGGGACCTGCTAACAGTTCTTAGGATGAGGCCTTGAAGAATGAAAAGCCATCCTAGCCATCTTTGGGTCTCAGGCATGAAGAAGGACTCAGAATGCCATCCTGGGAGCCCAAGAACATCACGGCACAGAAAAGTTGGCTCGAAAACTCCTAAGCCTGGTACTACATCAGGCTTCAGGAGCCTTCAAGAGCCTTCAAAAGCCTGGCATGATCATACAGCAGCAAACTGAAACTGAACCACAGCGCCCCCTGGTAGTCAATAGAGTTGGTCCCAGGAAAAAGACGGAGGGATGTTTGCTTACAAAAGGCCCCATGAGGCCTACAGAGGGGGAGGCTTGAGTTGCAAGTTGCTGAAGTGGAATTGCAGGGTTCAACCAAGCAGCCATCCTTTTGGCCAGTCAGGCTCTGGACAAGAAGAGGAGACTCCGGAAGGCAGTTTTCAGCAGCAGATAGAAGATAGCAAGCACTGGCTGTGGGAGGAAAGAAAGCCTGGGGCAAGGAGTGGAATCCAGGCCTGTTCTTCCAGACATAGTTCATCAGGGTCTGGGATCTGTTCTCTCTTGGCATTGCCTGACCAGGCCATGGCTCAGGTATCTGACACCTGGGGCCCAGAGTCACATGCCAGGAAACTCTATACACTTGGGCCCCAGGTCGCAGCAGCTTCTAGCCGCAGCAAACAAACAGGACTTCTGAAGGAGGAAGCGGGTCTCCAGAGCCCACTGGCAGGGGGACTACTTCCGGGGAGAAAGGTAATAGCACAGGAGAGGACTCTGCCACCAACCAGGGTGAGAGGCAGGAAGGAGAAGGGAGAGGAGGGAAGATGAGCAGGGCCATGAACACAGAGCTGGGGAAGGCAGAGGGTGAATGCTTCCAGAAAAGGGGGCTGATGAGAATAGAAGGTGGGACCACGAGTACCTGTTACCTACTTGAACAGTCTGGCTGAACACTCCGGAGTCCCATCACTAATCCGTCCCTCTTGTTCTTTATGTTTAGTGCCAACCAGACCCCCTGGTGTTTGCCTGGCTTCCCTGGCAGACGCACAGGTATGTGGAGGACAGAAATATTTATTTCAAGAAGTGAGAGGAATATAAAGACAGAAGCAATAGTTTGGAACCTGCCAGGACCATTTCAACAGGGCAAAGGGACAAAGGGACCTCATAGATTAACCTAGAATCAATAGAACCTAAAAGCTTCAAGTCTAAGGGATTCTTTCCCCTTAGAATCTTGTCGAAGACAGACAGACAGACAGACAGACAGACAGACCTAGGGCTGAGAAAGCCCCCAAAGGAGAGGTTCTGGCCCAAAGAGACACTACCCAGGGACCCCAGCAGGAGAGAGCTTCAGTGGGACTTAGTATTCTAACTCTGTTCTTTCTTCCTAGGATCGTCTATTGCCCAGACTCTCCTCCACTCAAGGATTATGTTTATCTGTGAACATGCTCCTACTAGCTCCTGGCCTCCTGCCCTTCCTGCTGGTGATAAGCACAGGGGGTTCTGTGCCCAGCCCTGGGGCAATGCCCCAGGGTTGCTACATAGCGGAAGAAGCTGGCGAACAGACATTCCGCTGCAGTCAGGCTGGCCTGAGTGTGGTGCCCAATGGCATCCCCAACAACACCCGAAAGCTTTACCTGGATGCCAACCAACTGGCATCAGTGCCAGCTGGTGCCTTCCAGCACTTGCCTGTCCTGGAAGAATTAGACCTGTCTCATAATGTCCTTGTCCACCTCTCAGGGGCTGCTTTCCAGGGCCTGGAGGGCACTCTGCGCCACCTTGACCTCTCTGCCAACCAGCTAGCATCCGTGCCTGTGGCAGCCTTCATGGGGCTGCAGATCCAAGTGAACCTGTCTGCCAACCCGTGGAGCTGCGACTGTGCCCTACAGGAAGTGCTCAGGCAGGTGAGGTTAGCTCCAGGCTCTGGGACAGGCATCGTGTGTGGTCCAGGAGCCCGACCAGATCTCGTGGGACAGGAGTTCCTTCTGCTGACTAGGGAGGAAGAACTGTGTGGCACAGGACGAGGTGGGACACGAAGGAGCACTGATGTGGCTCTGCTAGTTACCATGGGGGGCTGGCTGACACTGGTAGCGGCTTATCTGATCCACTACGTGTGGCAGAACCGGGACGAGACCCGGCGCCCCCTCAAGCGGGCTCCTGCGCAGCCCGTGCGCTCAGAGGACTCCTCTACCCTTAGCACAGTGGTCTGATGACCAAGAGTGCTCTGTGCTCTTGGTCCTATGCACTAGCCTTTCTTCTACTGCTACCACATCCCTTGCCCCGTCTGCCCTTTATCCTTTCCTGACCTCCTCAATACCTTCTCTGGTGCACTCTTGTGTGGGGGCTGTGAGGACAGGAGTGGGGGGCGGCAGAATAAACAACCATCTCAGTCGGCAGCAACTCAGAGGGAGAAGACAATAGCTTAGGAGCATAGGGGAGGAGCGTGAGCCTGGCAAGCGACGGTGACCACAGAGGCCTGGCTGTACAGATGTGGGTAATGACTCCAAAGAGGGCTTTGATGGGGGCTGGGGAGATGGTTCAGTCAGTGAAGCATCTGTCCTGCATGAAGACCTAGCTCAGCTCTCTGGTACTCAGCTCTCTGGGCACAGGGTGGGTGCCTGTAACCCCAGTGCTGGGGGCGGGAGAGAGACAAACAGATCACTGGAGCTCATTGGCCGGTCTGCTTAGCCAACAGGAAGCTCCAGGCTTAGGGGACCACGGGACACTGGCCCGAAATCACGGGGAGAGCAGTTGAGGAAGGCATTCAATGGCATCAACCTCCAGCCTCAGTTGTACCCACATGAACATGTACACATACCACGTAAACACGCACCCACACACATCCACCCAAAACAAGGAGTTGGGGAAGCACAGAAGGTGTACAAAAGAAAGGATAATATGAAAAGACTTGGAGCCCATGGTGAAAACCGTGGGAGTAGAAGAGAGGGCGTGGGAAGGGGGAGGGGATGGTGGGAGCAATCTGGGAATAGGAACAAAAAGCAAGCTTGTAGCCATATTGAGAAGGGTCTCTGGGCTCTCCCTGTATTCTCTCCTCCACCTTTTCTTGTTTGTTTTGTTTTTGTTTTTCAAGAGAGTCTAACTCTCCCTGTCCTGGAACTCACTCTGTAGACCAGGCTGGCCTGGAACTCACAGAGATCCACCTGCCTCTGCTTCCTGAGTGCTGGGATTAAAGGCGTATGCCACCACCACCCGGCCTTACCTCTCTCTTGTCCTCACAAGGATTCCCTGTGCCATGGTCCCCTACTTCCTTTCCCAGAATTTCCCTGTCCCTCTGTCCTCTCCTTTATACACTGGCAGTTTTCCTGAGCCATTTCCCTTGGAGAAAGATGGTCCCCTTTACAGACTGAACTGAGGATGAATGACAATAATTTGGGGGCAGAGCAGAGACCCCAGAGCATCATCGAGAAACTCAATAAAAAATTTAAAAACCTTTTATGAGCATCCTTGATCTCTTTCTCAGTTCATTTTACTGAACCTGTGTGGTCTGGCACTGAGGTGCATGTGGAGCCCCGCCCACCACCTCACCCATCTCTCTCTTCCTACTTTGGCCTCCAATGGACACTGGAATCCAAGAGTAGGAGCCAGAGTCTATGAACTAATAAGGACGGAACCGGAAGCTCGAGGAAAGTAAGAGAGAAGGTGGCTTGGCTTCAGCCCTACCCGCCGCTCTCCAGGAGTCAGGGAGGACAGAGGGGGTTCTAAGATGCCACCGGCCCTGTCGAGCAGCTGGGTAGCCTCAATGGTGTTACAATGTATGTCCCAGCAGAGAATAGAAAGGAAAGCTTTTTCAAGGAGAGTGGTATGTCAAAACTAACCTCTTCTACCCGGATGTACTAGAGCCCCGTTGCCCAGTCTCTCTCTAAGGCAAGATTCCAGCTACCTGGGGGCAGGCACGGGCAGGCACCAGGCAGGCATGAACAGGCAACTTCCCGGAGGCGGCTGTCAGCCAAGGGGGGTAGGAAGGGAGAAGAGATCTGGGAGCCCTCCACCACCAGCTTCACTCTTCCTCGGGGAGCCCCAGGAAACTCAGACCAAGGCAAGAATCGGAACCTGATTAAGGTAAGCCATTCCCCAGACTAGAGACTGGATCTTCAAAGCCTCATTATCTACAAAAGGGGCTGGGTGGAAGGCAAGCCTGGACCGCTTAAGCTGAGCCTGAAGGGAGGTCCACAGGGAGTGAGAACAAGACTGGAACCCAATCTCCTGTCCTACTGGAACATACACCCTCCCTGTCCAAGGAATGGGATGAATCGGTGGGAGAGAGGAGGGCAGGGCCAGGGGTGCATCTAAGAGGAAAGTAGGAAAGGAGGGTCCCGGCCTCACCTCATAGGAGGCTTTAAAAAAAAAAAAAAGCCAAGCAGAACAGTTGAAGCACAGAATGGACAATAGTGTGGAGACGCTAGACATGTAGGAGGGACAAGACCATAGGGACACTCCATGCCAGACTCTGCGCTGCCCATGATTCCCTTCCCAGGTGTGTCTAAGGAAGGAAGCCCAGGCTTCTGTTCCTGGGGGTTGAGGACCCTAAAGGTGAAGCCCTATAAAATCTAGTTGCTACTGCCCGGGACCGAAGCTCAATGGTGTCTGAGCGTGAGCACACGAGGTTTCGGGTGGTAGAAGATGAGGTGGAGGTTAAACTGCGAAACTGAAGGGCTTGATCCCGCTGGCGCACTTCTCACAAAGGGAAAAGAGTCCTAAGCCGGTCCGAAGGCGGAGCTTGCACAGGCTGGGGACAACGTGACGGCAGGAGGCCGTAGGCGGGGCGGGTGGACGGAGCCTAAGAGGAGTGGGTGGGATTGCGTGGTGCAGGGCGGAGTAATTAGTGATGGGGGGGGTGGAGAGGACTGGGCCGTGACCTAAGGAGGCGGGAGGCGGGGCCGAAGGGGTGGGCTGGGGCCGGGGTGGGACCGAAGGAAGGTGGGAGGTGGTGCTGAGCAGACTGGAGGCTAGGATGTGTTGCCCGGGCAGCTAAAATCGGAAGCGTAGCAGCTTTGGGGACCGTGGCGTGCTGCGGCCGAGCTAGGATGGCGATTCCAGGGTACTGGGGGCGGGGCTGGTCATCCGAGGGTAGGGCTACCGGCTGCTGGGGCGGGGAAAGGGCTTAACTGAGGCCTTAACTGGGAGATTTATCTTTAGCCTCTAGGAGAATCTGAAGCTTTCGCCAGAAGGAATGCCCACTACCCTCCCTCCGGAAGCTTCCTGTTCCTCGTACTGCAGAAGTATCTCATCTGCTTGGTGATGGCCTGGGATTTTATGGAGCCTACTGGTTTTGGGAGGGAGGCATGGAGACAGTCCTTAAACAGCTATGGAGACTTCAAGTAAGCTCTATGCCCCAGCTGTCTAGGAACATCCTCCACCTGCTGGCCTCTGCATGGTCAGGGTCAGAAATGATGGGAGAGTAATCCTCTATGTACTGGGCCTGCCAGAATAGGCACAGTAGCACCAAAGAGAACCTACTGTATGATTTGTAGGTATTAGTGCAAAATGAAAGTGCAGAGCTACCTGTTCAAAACATAATAAAAATAAAAATAATTAGGCTGGAGAGGTGGCTCAGCCGAATACCCAGGGTTTAATTCCCATCACCCACATAGCGGCTCTCAACTGTCTCTAACTTCAGTCTCAGGGGATCTGACGCCCTCTTCTGGCCTTCATGAGCACTGCATGCGCATAGTACACACTCATGCACGTGAAATAAAAATAAACGAAATCTAAGCCTGGAAGTGGTGGTGCACACCTTTAATCCCAGCACTCGGGAGGCAGAGGTAGTCAGATCTCTGTGAGTTTAAGGTCATCCTGATCTACAGAGCAAGTTCCAGGACAGGCTCCAAAGCTATACATTGAAACCCTGTCTCGAAAAATAGATAGATAGATAGATAGATAGATAGATAGATAGATAGATAGATA